AAGAAAAAAAAGTGAATGCATTTGTTTTCCAGATGTTTCTTTGAGGGCACGTTTTGGTAGAAAACATTAGTATCACATCACAGGTGATTATATTCTTGCGCTTGGATCTGTGAGGTTCTTTAAAGTGTTGTATTTATGTTACAGTGTAACTTACATATAGTGTCATTACAAACAGGTGGATGTACTTCTGCCCTTTAGGACACTTAACTCTTCATTGGCAACCAGATTTCTATGTTTAAATACTAATATATGAATAGCATTTATTTAATAAAAGAAACTTTAATTACAGGAAAATGCACTCTCGTCATCTCTCAAGTTGGGAATTGTATCACAATTCATCCATCCATTCATTTATTGTAGAACCATTCATCCATGTAGTGACCTGCCCTTGAACTCTAAGTCTAGAAAACATTAACTCTTAAATGGTCCATTTAAAGTAAGAATTTAAAGAGAGAGAATTTTTTTTTTTTTTTTGAAGAGCTCATTGGTGTAAACTTTTACAATGTTTACAGTTGGGCAGAACTGAGAGACAGTTTGGTCCAAAAATACGTTTCTGTTATTTTTTACTTTCTCTCATTCACTCTAGATGTAAACACAGGTTAGCTACTAGAATAATGTCCAAGTTATTAAGGGTTAATGAGCAGTGCTCATTAATCTAATCCCACTTGTAATTCTCTTTATAGTGCTTCCACTGGCTTCAGTCTCCATTGCAATGTATTAGATCCTGCTCTAGATTACAAAAACTCGTCCCTGTATGACACTTTTACCAAAAATCATGGGATGATTTGTTCATGATAGGAAGTTCATCCTAAAATCAAAATTCTGTCATTATTTACTCACTCTTTTCAAACCTGCATGACTGACTTTCTTCCGTAGAGCACAAAATATGTTCTATACAATGAAAACATACTCTAAAGTTCAAATGTTTGGGGTTAGTAAGATTTTTTTATGTTTTTGAAAGAAGCCTCCAATGCTCACCAAGGCTGCATTTTCAGTGTCACATGATCCTTCAGAAATCACTTTAATATGCTGCTCTGGAAACATTTCTTATCCGCAATGTTGAAAACAATTGTGCTGCTTAATATTTTTGTGGAAACTGTAATCCATTTCTTTCTTTTTTTTCAGGATTATTTTACAAATAGAAATTTTAAAAGAACAGCATTTATTTGAAATGAATTATTTTGTAACATTTTAAACATCTTTACAGTCACTTTTGTTTTTGAATGAGTAACTTCAAAACGGTCTTTCGAAATCATAAGATAGCTTTGTGTGAGGAACAGACTGAATTTTAAGTCAATAAATTAGTTCGATTTATCATTCGATGAAAAACAAAATGTCTCATTTTGTGTTCCAAAGAATAAAGTCATGCTGTTTTGAAACAATATGAGCCATAAAATGATGACAGAAAATGACTAAACATCTTAGTGAACACTTTCTCTTGATTTGAGTCATGCAATATAAAAAAAAGCCTAATTAAATGTCAAACTGCATTATTTTGGTATACTACACTAGCTATCCCATAAACCCCCAGTGAAATGTTTCTCATATCAGCAGATCGCAGATTGATATGGTAATCACATCAATCCGGGTGATCACTCATAGTCTAAGCAAGGAAAATCCAAACAGCAGAAGCTTGAGTACAGACCAGATAAACTTAGTTGAGATGAGGAGACTGTATCTCCCTCCCTCTCTGTCCTCTTTCTTTCCCATAACCTCTGTCTGGCTGAACCACGAGTAAGCAAGACCACCCAGCCATGAAATTTACTGACTGTGATACAGTTCTTTGTCCTGCTGCACCTGCTTGTGATAAACTTTCAAAGAGTGCTAACAGTAGATTAAACAAAAGACTGAACCATTTCACCTGCAGATAAACAGAAAACCCCCTTTAAGAAAGCCGCCTGCTGATAAACAAAACTCTCCCTTATCACTCTATCTGCCAGACATAAAACGGGCAAAGAAAAAAAAGTGAATGCATTTGTTTTCCAGATGTTTCTTTGAGGGCACGTTTTGGTAGAAAACATTAGTATCACATCACAGGTGATTATATTCTTGCGCTTGGATCTGTGAGGTTCTTTAAAGTGTTGTATTTATGTTACAGTGTAACTTACATATAGTGTCATTACAAACAGGTGGATGTACTTCTGCCCTTTAGGACACTTAACTCTTCATTGGCAACCAGATTTCTATGTTTAAATACTAATATATGAATAGCATTTATTTAATAAAAGAAACTTTAATTACAGGAAAATGCACTCTCGTCATCTCTCAAGTTGGGAATTGTATCACAATTCATCCATCCATTCATTTATTGTAGAACCATTCATCCATGTAGTGACCTGCCCTTGAACTCTAAGTCTAGAAAACATTAACTCTTAAATGGTCCATTTAAAGTAAGAATTTAAAGAGAGATTTTTTTTTTTTTTTGAAGAGCTCATTGGTGTAAACTTTTACAATGTTTACAGTTGGGCAGAACTGAGAGACAGTTTGGTCCAAAAATACGTTTCTGTTATTTTTTACTTTCTCTCATTCACTCTAGATGTAAACACAGGTTAGCTACTAGAATAATGTCCAAGTTATTCTTTTGGTTATAACAAAAGTGAATGGTTGAATGACTGTTATGCTTCAACAAAGGCCAAAAAAGTGCACTGGTACTAAAAGGACAAATATTGCATTAATTAGTCTATTGGTGGCTTTATAGAGCCATTTTTCATTATATTTATCAACCATGTGTCATAAAAGTAAGTGTTTTACGTTAACATTTTATATTAGCATTAATATCACCTGTATAAGGTTTGGCATACATGTAGTCCAGAGTCCATAATCATCAAAAAACTGTTTAACTCAAGTGTTAGAAATGTTGCCTTGGAAACTAACTGAACTAAAATTAAATAAAATAAGCTTAATAAAAATGACAAAAGCACAAAATAAAAATTACTAATGCCTAAACTAAAATTAAAATGAAAACTAAAATATATAAATTAAAGCTAATTATTAATAATAGCTAAATATTAATAATACCATAAATAACACTGGTTCAACTTTGAATTCAACATGGCTACTTGAGGCTTATACTAAATGTATGACATGGAAAATGAACCCAAACAATATTTAACAACTTAAATGTCTAATCTTTTCACAAACTATTGCATGGCTTCAGAAGACTGTTTATTTTTTAAAGCTTATTAAAATCATAGAGCATTAATCATATGGGCTATAGAGAAAAGAGTGCATGAATCATAATTTTTTGTCCTTTTTGTAGCCTTTTGGAGAGCTGTATTCATCGTCCATCCATCCATCCATGAAAAAGAGCCATGTGAAAAACTGTGAAAAGTTTCTGTGTCAAGTGTTAATGATTCACCTTGAAAATGTTTCAAACATATGCCTGTGACTATATGCCTCTTCTATGCCTTTAAAACGATGGAACCTGGATCCTAGTCCTTTTTACTGCCATAGTAGATACTAGATGGAAAGAATAGAAGCAAACGGATAAACTACTCAAAAATGACAGAAACCAGATTTTACAGAGGCTCATCACACATTACTGAACAAATGAATGACAAATACGAGTGACACACTCATTTCTATGCGTGCATGTGTGTGCTCGTCAGAATGAATAACTAAAGGAGGGATGTTAACCTCAAGAACGTCCTGTCCTTAATATCATCACAGTCTAAATCCCCACCTAGGGGTGTCCCGTTCCTGCAATTTCACTGAGCAGGCATTTAATCATTTAACATTGAGGGATGTGACTGACAAGCATCAGAAGGCCGCTGAGGTGACAGGATTTGGGTCTTCATCACCACTTTAGAGCAACTTTGAGTTGACACGGTGCTCTTCAACCAAAACCAGCAGGATTAAAACCCACTTGGGCGGAATGTGATAAAGAGGTGCCTAATCACACACACAAACTGGCATTAATCTGCACCCCGCTGTGCAGGAATGGGGAGGCAATGTGATGGTGAGCCCATGTGTGTGTGTATTTTTGTGTGAGGAATGCAGCAAAAATCAACCCAGCTGCCGATCTAATCCCACAAAACCCATTGTCATATAGGAATAAATATAAAGCCTGCACCGAACATTTTTAGCGTAATACCATATGCAGTTCACTTACATTCAGATACTCCAAACCAAACAAGCTAATCTTCTTAATACCCTAAATGCACATAAAACCTATGCAAACAAAACCGTATTTTCCATTTTTACTCACACCCATACTCCACATGGATACTTCAACATTTCACCAAATATAATCATAATGACAAATATCAATGTTTACATTTAAAACTAAATATCCACTTTAGACTTTTCAACTTATGGCTAAAATCACAAAGAAGACAAACAATGTGTCACTTGTAACGTGTCACACCGCTAGAAGGTCTAAAACCTTGAGTGGGACAGAAAAAATAACATTTCTTCAGCAATAAGAATAAAAGGAGAGCAAATAGAGAAGTATTTTGCTTCTGATTTGTCTAGATCTCGACAAAGTCTCAAACAGTGCTATCATAAACAAGTCTGCTATCATATGCCCGAGTTTTCCCAAGATCACGATTTGTAGTCATACTGTACGTAAACGTCATGCCATTTATTTATATTTTCAAAACTTTTAAGTAGGGCTACATATTCAACTAATCTGCTGATTATATCTTAGATTAATCAATTAATCAGATTTTAAAAGCCAGCTTTTAATTTTGGTATTGTATTTGAAGTTATTCTTCATAAACTATACTATATACTATACATTTTGTACAAAAAAGGGGGGAAAATTATTAATGATTTAATTGATTAGTTGTTGTGGGTCTACTCAGAAATTTTTTTTTTAAAGAAAAATCAAAAAGAAAGAGCAAGTTCTCAGCAATAACATTTTCCTCCTAGAATTTATTCATTCAAATAATGAAAACATGAAATGTTTGAGAAACAAATATCAAAAGTGTCCAAACATCAGAGGTCAAATATAAAAAGTGCAGTTTTTGGGTATCCACCTTTAATTATCGATTACTTACTGGGTTGTGTGATTTGTTGCTGGGTTATGGTTGTGGAAGACCCTTTAGGTGGACTGATTCTGCTCCTTGGTTGGCCCATCTCCTCCTCTTCCTTTATATTAGTGTTTTGCTGGCTTTGCGAATGTGTCGTTCCATTGATCGGTGGCCTCTGGCCAGGTATATTGCCCTCACTTCCTGTCTGCATTACTTTCTCCCCCATGCCGTGCATTCTGGGTCGGCCAGCAGGTGTATCCCGACGAGGCGAGGGGAGCTTGGAGCCAGGACCCACCGAGGATGGGCGAGCAAGTCGTGAAGGTTTAGACATAGTGTAGAAATGCTGGGATTCCAATCAAGTCAGTTCATCAGTCACTCACTTGGTATTCCATTTGAGTTGTCCAATCAAATCACACTAGTAGAATATCCAAAGCTGTGTTCCACAGGTGTCCAAAGGTGTCCTGGATTTCCACCGTATTCCGCAGAGAACGAATTGCACCGTCTCTGTCTTACTCTCCCTCCTTCTATCTCATCTCTCTTCCTTCCTGTCCCTCTGTGTCTTTACTCACCGAACGAGTCCAGACGAGTGCAGGTAGAAGAACCAGACGGCGGGAGAGACGGAGGACGAGGAGGAACGAGGGGGAAGGGGTTAATCACCACCTTTCCAAACGGAGCCTCCAGCATTCCGAAGTTGTATGCGTGTGCGCCTCGGGATGACTGACAGGGGGACAAACGGAGATAAGCAGGCTGTTCCCATGTATCAGCGCATTCCAACAGACAGTCTCAATCTCTCTCTCGTTCTGCCCTCCTAAACTCCAACTCTCCTTCTCTCGCTCTCCCCACCTTCTTTTTCATCTCGTCTAGATGCTCTCAGCTTGGAAAGGCAGAAAAAGTCTCAATGCTTGGAAGTAAAAAAGGAAAAGAATGAAAAGGGAGGAGAAAAGGTCTTCTGTTGCTGTCACAGCTGTGTATACTGATCCACATGTGACTCTCTCTCTCTCTATCCACTGCTCTTTCAGTCTCCAGTTTACCAGGCTAGAAGACCATCGCTGCGGTGCGTGCAGTAGAAAATGACACACATATACACACACACATGCTTGGATATTTCTGGAGAATTACAAAGCGGCAGAAAGGAAAGCGGGTTTACACTAGCATAGCTGGTACTTGAGCTCTGCAGTTGGAGTGTGTTTGTGTGTGTATCAAAGCAAGGCATTTTGGAAGCTTTACTTTGGGCTCAAAAGAGTTGGAAGTGGAGGAAAAATCCTGTTTGCTGTTGTCAAAACAAGCACGAAACACACTTGAAGAAAGTTTGCACAACTAAATATAAAAAAGAGAGTGACAGAATAATTTGCATTTCATTATGACGGTAAAATATATAAGGGATTTCAATCATGATTTTATGTTTTAAAAAATGAATCCTAAAACTTTACTTTTTTTAAATTATTATTTTTAGGTTTCTTTCTAAAAAATAGTTTTTTAGGGATAGGCATATAACATTGTCTTACAGCAGTGGTTCCCAACCCTGGTCCTGGAGGCACCCCAACACTGCATGTTTTGCATGTCTCCTTAATCAAACACACCTGATTCAGATCATCAGCTCATTAGTAGAGACTCCAAGACCTGAAATTGGTGTGTCAGAGAAAGGAGACATGCAAAATGTGCAGTGTTGGGGTGCCTCCAGGACCAGGGTTGGGAACCACTGTCTTACAGAATAACAGTCAGAGTAGTTTTTACCCAGGGTGTTACCTAGAGTAAATAAAAATCTGATTCTTGACATCTCAATTTATCATAAACAATAAATGTAACAATTTACTATAAAAACACACACTATATATCCTGAGTATGAGTCAGAAAGCTTTTGAATAGATAACCTACTAACCCAAAAGCCCGTGCCTCTCTCCACTGCTTCCGTGATTCCATTTCACAGAAAAGCCCGGATCAAACCATCCAGTGGCGGGATATTTACCTTTGGATTTCATACCGAGGGAGTTTGGAGGAAAAAAAAAAAGTCCCAAAGGAGCAGATTTGGCTGCCACACAATCCATAAAAAACATACATACAAATCTAGACAAGAGATTTAAATGTAGAATATTTCACCACTGGATTAAACCCCCGCTGACATGGCTTCAAACCATTTGGCCATCTGGACAAACCATACATCAATCATTTCAACATGAGGAAGTGATCATATTCGATCTATGTAGCGGGTGTGTTGGTGGAGTGAGAACTGACCTATTTCAGAAGCAACAAACAGATATATGAAAAATTACTTTGTTCAAAATTCATCTAATTTCACCAAAATGGACATTCCTTGCAGTTTTCTCAAGTATATATGCATATCAATGCAGGGAAAACCATACTAGCATATCATGGCAGACTTTTGACCTACATTTCTTCTCTGCTAAAACCTAATGACCTTTGGCCATGCTATACACAAAACAGATGGACCCATTTTACAGATTCAACCCTGCAATATGCAGATGTTGTGAGCATACATATGTGTGGTATGCATGTGTTCCTCAGTCAGTGAGTGTGCATATGTATTGTGTGTGTTTTGGGGTAATTTAAAAGCCCTCTAATAATACACTATATATTTGGCAGCCTCGTGGCTCCACCCTGTAAGAACTCCATTCACTGTTATAGCTCAATGTAAGCTATATTTAACTCTCTAAATAATATACAACCTATGAGACTGCTATGAGATTTCTCATTCATCTTACCCTGGTACTTTAAATTAGAATAATTTCTGCTAATAAGTTCTTAACAATGAGTCTTTTTCATGAAACAAGCAAAATGCAACTGTGTATAAATTATATATTATTATTTAGGTTACACTTTATTTTAAGGTGTCCTTATTACAATGTAGCTATACATTTAAGTACTGAGTAATATTAATTAACTAAATGTACATACTATATGGTTAGGGTTTGAATTAGGGTTTGGCTTAGGGTTATTTGCATGTAATTATGCATAATTAATTGTTATTATAATAGTAAGTCCATGTGTAACAAGGACACCTTAAAATAAAGTGTTACCATTATCTATTACATCTATTTTAATTACATTATATGCTATATAACGTAATATAACATATATATATATTTATGTTAATTTATTTATTTTAATATTTAATATGGTCAGGCCTGTGTTCCTGTCTCTTGTGTTTTGTTCCCCAAGTTCTAGTTCTCCCTCGTGTTTCCTTATGCTCATATTTGATTTGGTTTCCTGTTCTCGTTGTCTCATTATTAGTTGATTCCTCGCACCTGTCTGTCCCTCGTTAAGTTTAGTATAAATGTGTAGTCTGCCTCATGTTTCATTGTCGAGTCTAAACGTCATTCCATGTGTGTCTCCTGCGCTCCCTATGTTAGTGGTCCTTTTCTTTTGGTTTGTTTATTAAAAGTCAAGTTTTGAAAGTCATCTCCTCGTCTCCTCGTTTCCCTCCTACGCACCGTGATAGAAGACTTGACCTCAAAAAGATGACTGAAGCTGAGGACGCGCTGTGGGGTTTGCGGCAGGGCGGTCTGAGGTTGGAGCGATATGTGGAGGGTTTTCTCGAGCTCTCTAACCAGGTGAGCTGGCACAACGCCGCTCTAGGTGCGTGCTTCCTGCTAAGGTTGGATGACGAGATAATCCGCTGCGATCTTCTGACGTGTGATTTTTCCCCTGATCGAGCTGATTAATCTCGTGCAGTTCTTAAATGGTTCTGATTTCGAAGTGGAAGAAGTAAAGAAACTTCCTAAGCCTCGTCATCTAACTCCCGCTGGAATGCGCCGCGTCTCCCCAGCTCACCCCACGCCGAGAACCTCCACATACCTCTCCAACGGCTCCTACCGCCTGCCCAACCCCAAATTCCCCACTGTCCTCCGAAGCTCCACCGTGGTCCTCAGCCCAGGAGCGCCGGCTGCTCGGAAGTCAAGATGGCCGGCCTCTCAACAGATAAGCTCACCAGCCGCGCCGTTGTCATGTCCGCCGGCCGCGGCTCTCTCCAGCCCGCTGGCCGCTACGAAGTCAAGCCCGCCGGTGGTGGCTCTCTCCTGCCTGCCGGCCGTTCCAATGTCAAGCCCGCTGGCCGCGGCTCACTCAAGCCCGCCAGCCACTCCGAAGATAGGCCTGCTGGCCGCGCCGTTGTCAAGCCCGCCGGTTACCGCAACGACAAGCCCGCCGGCTGCCCAGTTTCCCCGTAACCCAAGGAGGAGGACTAAGAGAAAAGGACTTTTCTCTGCCTTCATCTTAGCCCCAGAGCTCCCTCCAGTGTCGGCTCCAGCCCCAGAGCTCGCTCCAGTGTCGGCTCCTCGAAAGCGCCTTGCTGTGCCTGCTCCTCCAGAGCGCCCTCCAGTGCCCGCTCCTCGTAAGCGCTTCCCCGTTC